GTAGGGACCCGGCCGGCTCTTGCCTTCCTCGGGAGCCCTTCCGCCCGGGCCCAGCAACCTGGAGCCTTGCGGACCCCTTTCCTGCCCTTGTCCTCAAAGGCCCCGCGAGCGGAAGATCGTGACACCGGGCACCGGGTGCGCTGTCGCCGCCTTCCTCCCCCCTCCTTTTTAAAAAAATCTTAAAACCTTGAGGAGTTACAATTTCTTTCCTTTCCAAGTTTTCATTTATTTTCGTGGTTGATGGATTCTTGTAACAGTTTGGGGATTTCTGATTTCCTCCCACATATCCTGGATAAGTCAGGCTTGGAAAAACGGAAGGCGCGTTTGTAAACTTACCTTTTTGTTTTTCTTCTTTGAGTTGATTCCTATCACCACAGAAGGAACCTTCTGTGGTCAGAGCAGGAAGCCACCAGCAGAGATGATAAAATGCTGTCCCCAATGATGAACTTGGAGCAGTTTTTAATTGAAATCTAAGAGGAGGTGTAACTTTTACGGAAGTCCTTTCTCACACTCTTGTTTTTATAATTATAGACACCAGGGATTCCTTACCACCGAGCCCCCTCTTAATTGCCACCTTACAGCAGTAGTTTAAAAAAAATAAAATAAACGTATACCTTCTTGTCCAGCTGGGGTTTCTAGAGCCTGGAATCTTACGTCAGCAAGCTCTTCCAAGCTTGAGCAGCTCCTCTTCAGTACAAATAATAAGCAATAACTGGAAGCCTTCCAACCATAACTATCTCCTCCATAGAAACACATATACTGCTCTTCACTCCTAAGAAGAATCCACTTGCTTACAGCTTGTAAACTGGCTTATCACTCTGGCCTTCACTTTTTCGTAGAAATCAGAATACGTTAGAAAGGGAACAAATATCTCCTGAGTCTTTATTAGCAGATCTGTATTTCCTTCAGCCATCCACCCTGAGGAAATGGCCGCTAGTGACATGTATTATTGGATGGGAGATTTTGGTTTTCACCCTGCATTTCATTGCTGAGACAGGTAGATGCATCGTCAGGTTCAAATTGGACCCCAGGTTGTAGACAGTTCTTAGAGGGCTAGAGTCAGTTGCTCCAGAATTTGAAAAGCTTTACCTGGGAGGGAAATGGTTAAAAATTCAGCACATGATGTATGTAATCAGTCATAGAAGGAGAAATCATCTGTAGAGTGAGTTTGTGTTTTGATGGACCTTTGAGCAACACACAGCTTTCAGGACTGGAATGTGATGACAAAACTCTTAATTACACAGTATAACACTTTAGAAGAATGAGGTATCTAAAAAGGAAAGGGTACAGAGTACAAATATGCCAGTGTGACTTTAGACCTGTTTTGTGATGAAAAGATGCCCTGACCAGCGAACATCTGGTCCCCGTGGAGTCTAAGACGGTGTTAATGTTTGTAGGGAATGTTTTAGGGAAGTAGGGAGAAAGATGGGGAGTAATGTTGAGTGCCTGCTATGTGTCAAGCTTTGAGTTGGGCACTTTATATTCATTTTTATACTTATTTCTCAATTCTGTGAAGTTATTTCCAGTGAGGCACCTGAGGCCCAGAGAGATTAAACAATTGGCCCAACATCACATAGCTAGTGTATCCGTCAGCATTCAGTCCGAGAAGCAGAATCACTAGGAGGGGAGTGTGTGTGTGTGTGTGTGTGTGTGTGTATCTTTTATCTTTGATAACCCAGCCTGCTTGATTCCAAAGTTCATTCTCTTTGCACTATACTGCACTGCTCCCCAGAGATAAAATAGAAAAGAAATCACCTTCAGCCGTCTTGTTGAGATTCTAAGATAGGGAGTTTAGGACATCATAATATTGTAAACATGGGGTTATCAGAAGATGGGAAGTAGAGAAAAGAAGGACAGTTAAGTTCACAGTGGGTAGTGGCAAAGTCTCTGACTTCCTGCCTAGTAGAAGAATCTCATTAAGCTTCTGTCTTAGTAGCAGCATTCGAAACTATATACCACCGGCACCAGAAGGGATGATTTTCCACATCTTGGCTTATTTATGTCTTTTAAGTTCTCTGGTTACTTAGGGCTTAGTTTCTCTGCAGACAGTGGGCATGGCCTTTGAGTAAGGAGTGGGCTGAAAAGGACCAGGGGCTGGTGAATGAGAGGTGCCCTCTCCTGGGGCTCTGTGGGCTTCCATCCAGCCTCCTGATTCCTCATTTAGATGCTAACGATAAGCTTTATTAAATTTTGGGTTCTCCTTTGGCCAGGTAGCTGCCTAGCTGTATATTTAGATTAATCTTAGTCAGTGGACAGAATGCTTTGAGAAGGCACTCCTTGGTGCTTGGGCTTCTGTGCCCAAATTTCATTTAAAGAGAAAATGCAAAATTCGAGGCCTGCCTGTCCTTCCCTATCTCCCCATCCCCACCCCACCCCCGCCCCCAAATAAATCAAACAAACTATTTGGGCGTTTCAGTAGTCCCTTTGGTCTCTCTCTTTGAATGAGACAGACCAAAGCCCCAGGTGACAGAGAAAAAAGTTTTCATTGTTACTTTTTAAAAAATTGTCTCTGATGTTGAAGTTTAATTACACATTGGGACAAAAGAGTTGTTATTTGAAACCGTCAAAAACATGATTTAAATTGTCATTGGTTAAAACTATTATGTTGAGTTGTTTCTGCGAATTTTAGGGCAGTTACTTCGGAAATTCTAAAGATTTGTTGGTCTGCTAAAAAGCAGGGAGAACAGTGAGTCTAGCTAAAATTGGAATCTGCAGTTAGTACGCTGTGGGCCCTTTTCGGAGGAAGGAATGCAGTGTTTATTATACCTGTTTTGTGGCAGGCTCTGGTCTAAGTACTCAGATCATTTAATTCTTACAACATCCTGTCAGCTATATAGTTTTATTCCTCCATGTATAGATGAGGAAATTGAATTCTGAGAAGTTAACTTGAAAAAGTCACTTACATGTGTAAGTTGGATTTTGACATTGACTCACATGTATTCAATTCTGAGGCCTATTATTGTTACCAAATCATTTTGTTTTTCTTTAGAGTGAGGAATTTCTTTTTACTGTAAGATATTTATAAATAATCATTAATAGGGTAATGGCATGATAGAGTAGAAAGAGCACCAAGCTCTAAGTCAGAACCCTGGACTTGAAGCTTTCTGGAGTGTGGCTCTCTCTGCCTCCATTTTCTTGCCTGGAAAATGGGTGTGTGCCAACCCCTATCTTTTTCTGCCTTACTGGCTGCTAGTGAGGAGCAAATGAGCTGGTGTCTCTGAAAGGTCTTGGCAAACGGCAGAGTGGTATATATCTTCTATCCTGTGTATCTTTTTTCCTGTATTTCTTACCCAAAGTGCCCATTAGACTAGACTTATAATGTCAACCAAACTGTCTAATAAATGTACACCACACATGTTTTCATTATGGAAGTGGTGTTGATTTTGCAGTCATAGGTTGATTGTAAATATATAAAGTCTGGAGTGACACCTCAGATTCATGAGTTTACTGCCATTGACTGGGAGTTAAGTAGCCAAACCTTTTTTTCCCATTTCTCCTCAGCTAAAATACAGTGCTCTTGGTATTTCTGGATAATTCCCCAAAAGATCTAAACTTTTGGGGGAAAGGGAGAGAATAACACTTGATCTCATTACTCTAAGACACTTGTCACTGTCAGCCTATTTCATTCTGGTCTTCTTTGTATGTATTTTCTACTTGGAGGGGATCATAATGCAAAGATACTTTTTTACCTGGCATTTTTTACCTAATGTTATACTTAAAGGTTTCTCCATTTCCC